CTCTTATAACTCAGCACGTCTTTGCAGCGCTAAAACATCAAGTTTTTGTGCCATGTCCGTGGATGTCGAATTGTGGCGAGAAGAGTTAGATTTTCCTGCAACAGCTTTGCTGCGTGAGTACATATACTTTCTTTCATTCAGGAAATTGTTCAGGACTCGAAAATCTTTGTTCGCCAAGAAGTCAGATAAACAAACGTGTGAAACCATTTAACGTTTGATAGCTTCATCTGTACCTATTACTCTTACACTGCAGAGAATTTGTACAATTTGCTGGGATTTGGGGCGTAAGGTCGCCAATAGTGCTATTGTCTGTCTCAAAATGATAGCATTCTCAATGTCCAATTTGTATTTTATTTTTAAAGTGGCTTTACTATACACATTGATGTCTTCTATTGCACGGGTTTACAGTCCAGATATAGCCGGATTTTCGAAGGGTCCAGGGGCTATTTTGTAAATTGTTTATCACCTGCTATTATACAAACAGTGCGCCTCAAATCAAGACATGCAAACAGCAAAAGAGGTGCTACAAAGAACGAAATATCTAACTTTTACTGCGTGTGCAATGGACTATTAGATACCAAAATATTTCTCCATGTCTGGGATGAACAGTTTATACAAATAAAGCTTGTCGCTGGCTTTATCCGTTTTGACAATTTTACCCAGAAATCTGCCCTATTCCAAAAACGATTTCAACATTTGAGAATCTCCTGGTAGTTACATGCAATTGTGCGGTTATTCCTTGTATCAAACAAATTTACGCTTGATTTTCCCACTGAAGTATAAAACCAACATAATTCAGATTCGAAAAGTTATGCAAATGTTACACGATGAATGCCTCCGGTCTATTGTTTTGAGCCTAAGTTTTGAAGTGTTTTGCAAAACCTGTTCTGAGCTATATGCAAAGTATCTAAAGTAAAGCAATTAAGCCAAGTTTACGAAGATTAAATTGTGAAAGCGAAACACTGTTAAGAATGGGTACAATCTGGTCATCGTACATTCTTTCCATCTATGTAGCGTGTTAATTTTTCATTTTTGAGCGACGTTTTGTGAAAAATGACCTGATTTTACAAGCAGGCTCACTCTGATATAACTTATATAAGTCAATTCAATTTATTTTCTGCTACCAACATTTTCACATCGTTTCAATAAGACAAGTTCGATTCATTTCAAAGTCCAACCTCAATCATTGCTGAAAATGACTTGTAAAGTATTGTCTGCCAGTTAATTTTCATGTATTTTACACTTACTTAAAAGAGGAAACAGGACTATGATATATTTCTGGTTGAACTAAGCTTCTTATAAAGGGAAAGCGACAAATTTAAAGTAACAACGTCGTTTTTACGATATTGAATTCTCTGATCATTCCAAATTCCCTTCTCTTTCTCGTCCTTTGAGGCTAATTTTATGTTTTTTTGTTTTTTGCACGTTCCAGGCTGATGAAACAACATACAAAGCTGACAATTTCTTTCACGTAAGGACGAGATGTCATGCAGATCAAGGACATTGTTAAGAGAAGTGATTGACTCAAATCACAGAAAACTAAACAGAATTTCGTGTTTTGCACCGCCGAAGTCAAACACTTTAAAACACCTCCAAAACGAATTCAGAAAAACAATCCCGCGTCCGCGATATGCATTCGTCACCTTGGTGATGTGCGGAGATGAGTATATTAAGGGGGCACTGACCCTCGCATGGTCTGTGAGGCAACAGAAAACTCAACACGAATTGATTGTCATGGTAACACCTGACGTCAGCGTTCCCGCAATGAAGCTACTGCGCAAGCTCTACGACCGCGTGATAAAGGTGCAATACATCAAAACGAGGGTGAAAAGCGCATTGCGAGGGAAAAAGTACCGCAAAGAGGATACTTGGATTGAATACAGCTTAACAAAGGCGCGCATGTTGAAACTCACAGAGTACGACAAGATCATTTGGTTGGACGCGGATTCGCTGGTTCTTAACAACATTGACGAACTCTTTGAGCTTCAAACTCCGGCTGGCGTTTGTTCAAGCATCCGAAATCACGACTATTGGCACGGGTCGAAAATACCCGAACTCGAAATAGAAAATTCCGTCGAAAACAATTACGGTGTGCACGGCTGTACCATGGTTCTTACGCCTAACCTAGATCACTATCTGCTAGCGAGTTCGCTTCCTCAAATAGGAACAACAGCGAACTTTGTTGGACCCGATGAATACTTCTTTACACAGCTGTACAAAACTGAATGGCATCATATTCACGTCAAGTATGCCTGCACGAAATGGTTCTACGAAATGAGGGATGTAAAACCCGAGGTGATTCATTTCTCTGGGGACAAGCCGTGGAAGGACGAGGAAGACTGGGAAGGAATACGCAGGTGGAGAGAGGCAACGGAGGGCATGGTTCGAGTCTGTCCGAAAATGTCGGATTTATTCGTCACACGAAGTCGGTCGAGTTCTCAACGAAGTCAGGACGAAGACAAGTCTTCGGAAAGTAGCAAAGTCTCGTTTAGGACTCAAAGTTCTGAACTAACATTGAAGTTAAATGGCCTCCACAGTTTCCAAGAAACCCTTGAATAAATAAACGGTATATTTACAAATATAACAATTACAGTTGGGTCTCCTAAGGTCTGGGTTTAAAAGTTAATTAAAATCTCGTTACACTGAAAAAAGAGCTATGTTTGATACCGGATATGCTAGTTTCAACTGAATGCTTTACTTTAACTCTGTAGCCTTATCTTAGAAATTTCACACCCAGTCAAGTAGACGGGGAGAGGGGGTGCAAGAGGGAAGGCATGGGAGGAAGACAACTGCAACGCTTTACTCCACTTTCCATGACTACTCTCCCTGGATGGGACGTTAGTCTATCAAAGG